CCTCTAGAGCCCCTATGTTACTCTGTAGAACCCCTGACCCCTACAATAGCCCCTGTGCCCCCCACCACAGTCTTTGTGTCCACCTATAGCCCCTGCCCCTCTCTCAGCCCCTGTGCACACCTCTACAGCTCCTGTCCCCTCTCAGCCCTTGTGTCCCTCCCCTATCTCCTGTAGCCCACTCTCAGCCCCTGTGCCCCTCCCTTCTCAGTCCCTGTGTCACTCCTCTCAGCCCCTGTGTATCCCCCTTTCAGCCCCTGTATCCCCCCTCAACCCGTGTCCCCCCCTCAACCCCTGTGTCCCTCCTCAGTCCCTGTGTCCCTCCTCAGTCCCTGTGTCGCCCCCTCAGTCCGTGTCCCCCTTCTCAATACCTATGTCCTTCCTATCAAGTCCCTGTGTCCCCCTCTAGAGCCACTGTTTTACCCTTTAGAGCCCCTTTCCCACTACAACAGACTCTGTGTCCCCCTATAGCCCCTGCCCCTCTCTCAGCCCCTGTGCACACCTCTACAGCCCCTGTCCTCCTCTCAGCCCTTGTGTCCCCCCTCTCAGCCCTTGTCCCCCCCTTCTCAGCCCTTGTGTCCCCCCTCTCAGCCCTTGTGTCCCCCCTCTCAGCCCTAACTTGTAATTTACAGCCACTACAACCCACTAACAGTGCCCTTCCCGAGATTAGGTTCTGGGTCCGCCAGTACTTCTGTCTTTGTATTCCTGTGTCTGCATGACTCTCTATGACAGTGTCTGAATGTCTCTCTGTGTCTGAATGTCTATGTTTGTATGACATTGTACCTGTATGTGTATATTGTATGACCATGTTTGTTTGATTGTGTGCCTGTATATCTCTGTGACTGTGTGCATGGATTATTATGTGTGCCTGTTTGGTTATGTGTTGCTATATATCTATGTCTATATGGAAAATTATAGGAATGTGCATGGGCAAAAAATTTGGTTTGGTTCTGTTTGGACTTCCGAAATTCAAGACTTTTAATTTTCCCTACCCTCACCTGTTTTGACACTTTTCAGAAATCCAAAGCACTTTGGGACTTCAGCAATTTGGTTCGGTTCTGCACTACCGAAATTCGTCACTTCGTAAACTCGGCAAGCATCCGAATGTCCGAATTGCAAAAATTTGTCTAGAAAATGACACGCACGTGTCTAGAAAATGACACGCAAATGGCCTTGTGGAGTAAATGGGGGATAAAATACACTAAAGAGGGTAAGAAATTCAAAAGTGGGGTTACGAGACACACAGATGAAGACGCATTGTTTTAAGGGGGGGTGTTAAAAAGCATCTTTGTCTGTGTAACCAAAAATTCTTGCACCAGTCCTGCCTGAAGGGTATAATTATACTCACCCTAACAAATACAATAAGCTGTAGTTGTTCTGGTGACTATAATGACCCGTTAATATTAGAATATGGCCTTGATTTAATATTGTTTAATACTGTTAGAAAAACTTTACAAATTGTTTATTCACAGAAGTCACATTAACCCCTTAAGGACCAAACTTCTGGAATAAAAAGGAATCATGACCTGTCACACGTCATGTGTCCTTAAGGGGTTAAAGTACTTTTGAGTTTTAGTGGATAAATAATTTGGAAAGTTTTTCTAACAGTATTAAAGGGCCACTCCACACCCCAAAAGCACTTCAGCTTGCTAAAGTGCTTTATGGGTGAGGAGTATCCTCATTTAACCCCAGTTTATAAAAGTGCTGATTTCTCATAGATTTCTTTTATAAATTAACTAGGGAACTCCCCCTGGCTGTTTTATTGATTCCTTCCTACTTCCATTAGCTGCCCTGAGTTAAAGGGACACTATAGTCACCAAAAAATAATTTTAGCTTAATAAAACTGTTTTTGTTTATAGATCATGCCCCTTAAGTTTCTTTGCTCAATTCTCTGCCATTAAGGAGTTAAATCACTTTTGTTTCAGTTTATCCAAAAGTAGCCACACCTCCCTGGTTGTGACTGACACAGCTTGAATGAAAACAAAATGGTTTCATTTCCAATCAGATGTTACTTACTTTGTAAATTTGTATCTCCTGCTCTGTAAATTGAACTGTATTTAAATACAGGAGGCTCCTGTTGGCTAATAACAGAGCAGGAGATAAGAAATTCTAAATTAAACAGAATTTGCAATAAAGGAAGTGTAAACATTAGATGACTCTTTAATTGAGCAGTGAGACTGCAGGGGCATGGTCTATACACAAAAACTGCTTCATTAAGCTAAAGTTGTATTGGTGACTATAGTGTCCCTTTAACGGAAGTGGCAGGCACGCTATACTTGAGTGTGCCTACATCCTCCACAGACCTCACAGACCTCAGACCAGCTAGACAGCTTCATCACTGCACATGCGACCGGGTGTGGGTGCGTGCACAGTCCGGTATACGTGCACACAACATTGTGCACATGCGTGTACGAGCTGGTGCACGTGTGCACATAGGAACCAAGTCAGGTTATTTCCTTGTGAAGAGACTGAGGGGAAAAGGGGAAGGGGCTTACAAAGGCTGCAGTCATAAGAACTGCAGCTTTTGTAAGCTATTTTAAGCTATTTTAAACTATATTCCCAATGAATACATACATGAAAATATGCATGTATGTATTCATTGGGGGTATATCTACTATACTGTAGTTTTTTTTGGTGGGGGTTTTGAAGTGTGGAATGGTCCTTTAAATGATTTACAAAGCTTATTGAATCGAGGCCTATGTGTTTCATGTGTTGTTTTGGCAAATATTTATTGAATAATTGCTTGTGAGTAGTATTCATTTTTACTCAGTGAGGCAAAGAAATGCTAACATTATTTGGACTTGCTACTAGATCATTCTCCAAATAGCACATTTTTGTTGTCCCAATAACTAGGTATACACAAAGAGATCATTGTTCATCAATATAATTGATCATGATTGTTATCTTTATGGAGATTAATAATCCGTTAACACATATCTAAATTTTTGTAAGCCAGAGTTTGATGGGTCATTTTTTTTCTTGAAAAGGCTGAAAGAATGCAGGATGATAAGAGGTAATCAAGCATCACATGTTTTGCCAACTAAGGCCTTTATTTGATACTATTGGTTAAACTTTCAAATGATTCAATATTTTTGCACAAATGTTTAGAAACATGTTTCTACATCTTAAACTATAAAAAAAAAAATCACATTTATATAGAAAATATATCGCAAAAATTTAAATATTACAAAATTTCAATAATTTTTATAATATTAAATTATTTTAAATGTGTATCCAAAAATATTAACTCATTTAAAAAGCTTGCCAATATTAAATCAAGGCCTAAAACCTTGATGTAATATTGTTGGATGAGCTTTTTAATTGATTTAATATCCGGTTTCACTATTCCCTGTCCAATGAAATTAGCAAATTTTTGTGATTGAAGTTAGAGAACAGCCTAGAACACCTACCTTCCCTGCCCCTAGAATGCTTACCTTCCATCGCACCAACCTCCCTGCCCCTAGAACACCTACCTTCCCTCCCACCACCCTCCTTGCCCCTAGAATGCCTACCTTCCCTCCCACCACCCTCCTTGCCCCTAGAATGCCTACCTTCTCTCCCACCACCCTTCCTGGGCAAATCTGCCACAACTACCCCACTACCACCACCACCACAATTCTCCCTGGGGGAACCTTACACTGCTCTCGCTACCAGTCTTTACTTGCCCTCACTTTGCTCTCTCTCTCTCACACACACTTGCTTGTTCACACACAAAGTGCTTTCTCTCTGCTCTCACACCCTGCTCACTCTCTGCTCCTAAACTCTCCACAAAGATGGTGTCATGGGAGTCGAATTATATAGTGTGCAGAAGTGTTGCATGCTGGTAGTGCTCCCTGATTGGCTGCACTTTCTGTGCAGTAAAAATATCATTTTGTAAATTGTATATATACTAAACTAACACTACTAATTATTAACTAAACCCAGACCACTTCTTTAAGATTAAGTGGTCTGGGTGCTGCTGTGGTCCACTATGCAATGTAAAACATTGCTGTTTAAGAAAAAAAAACACACAAATGTTTATTCTTCAAAACGAATGACATTCCGAACTGTTGAATGCTGGAAACGAATGACCTGCTGAACTGCTGAATGCCTGAAATGAATTCACGAATGCCGCGTGCCGAATGTCCGAACCAAATGTAATTCGGCAGTTTCAAAATGCTGAACCTAATGCCATTGGTCTAAATTGCCGAAGCAGACAAATTTTTTTTACTTACCCGAATTTCCGAACCAAACCAAATTTTTTGCCCATGCACATCCCTACTATAGTGTCAGGATTACAGTATGATCGAGCACGTAGAATTGTGTAACACAGAGGGCTGATAGGTAACGTATACCGGACCTTAGAATGGCCGGACTAACGTACCAAAGAATAGTCAGGAATAGCCAAGGTCAAGGGATACAGTAAGAGACACAACGATAAGGAAAAGCCAGGAGTCAGGGATACCAGAAAACATGGAAGTCAAAAACAATGCCAAAATCAAATAACCAGAATTACCAGAATAAATAACGCGCTCTCGGACAACCACAAGAGAAACCACAACAGGGCACTGAGCAGGATGAGAACTGGGCCTAAATAACCCTCCTCTAGATCTGATAGGCTGTAACCAGTCTTTGACCCCAAAGTCAGTTACCAGGTTTCAATTTGCATAATTGCTGCTCAGCAATAACCCTTCTGTGGATTAAGTTGCTGCTCGGCACAACTTTTCCTGTGTGGACAGTAAATGTCATTAACCACATTTTTATAAGCGGATGAATACGTGACATTACCCCCCACCTGGAGAAAGCCCACCGGGTTGTCAGGATCAGGCTTAAGAGGAAATTTGGCGTGAAAATAGCTAATCTTACGGCCAGCATGTATATCAGATGCCGGAACCCAAGAACGATCGGCTGGTCCACAACCTTTCCAATCCACCAAGTACTGTAAAGTGCCCCGAGTAAACCTGGAATCAATTATGGAGGAGACCTCATACTCTTCCTGTCCAGAAACAACTAAGGGAGGAGGAGGGACACTTGAGACAGTATATTTATTGCACACAAGAGGTTTGAGTAAGGACACATGAAAGGTAGAGAGTACGCAACAGGATTGATCCTACAAAGGACACGAAAAGGTCCAAGGAACCCAGGAGCAAATTTCATGCTAGGGACTTTGAGCCTGATGTTACGAGAAGATAACCAAACCCTCTCACCCACTTGGTAAACAGGGTTGGCACCTCGACGTGTATCAGCATGATGCTTGAAACGGTCAGCAGCAGTACCCAGAGCAGATTGAACTTTAACCCAGGTATCACAGATGGAAGCCAGACGGTCATCCAAAGCAGGAATAGCCGTATCAGAAAAAACAGCCGGTATGACTGTAGGATGCCGGCCATTATTAACAAAAAATTGACTATGCCCAAAGCAGTCATGGTCAGCATTGTTCCTAGCAAACTCGGCCCATGGTAGCAATTCGGACCAATTGTCTTGAGTGCTATTAATGAAACAACGCAAATATAATTCCAAGGACTGGTTAGCCCTCTCAGCTGTACCATTGGTCTGGGGGTGGTAAGAGGACGAAAAAGACAATTCAATCCCTAATTGTTTATTGAAGGCCCTCCAAAACCAAGACACAAACTGAGAACCTCTGTCAGATACTATATTGTGAGGCATGCCATGCAGACGGGCAATTTCTCGTATAAAGATTAGTACCAGGTCTTGAGATGACAGGAATTTCTTGAGAGGAATAAAATGAGCCATTTTAGAAAAACTGTCCACAACCATGAGAATGGTGGTATAACTGTTAGAACTAGGAAGTTCAACAATGAAGTCCATGGACAAGTGGGACCATGGGACCTCAGGAATAGGAAGAGGTTGTAATAAGGCACAAGGGAGTTTATGAGGCACTTTGGAAACCGCACAAACAGAACAAGCCTGCACATATTCCTTAACATTCCTCCTGAGGGAATCCCACCAGAATGACCTCATGATAGCAGAAGTGGATTTATTAATACCTTGGTGACCAGCAGACACATTGTCGTGAAACACCTTCATGATATTAACCCTCTCCCCCAATGGAACAGTTTGTCCTGAGGTTTACCGCAGGGCGCCTGAGACTGAGCCTCCATGATGGAGACAAGCAGTAGAGAGAACATTGAAAGGACAGTGGACGCAATGATACATTCTGGGGGAATGATATGGGACATTTCTTGCTCTAGTATAGCCTCAGTAGCAAACTGCCTGGACAAGGCGTCAGCCTTGACATTTTTAGAACCAGGTCTGTAAGTGATAAGAAAATTAAAGCGAGAAAGAAATAGAGACCACCTAGCTTGTCTAGAAGATAATCGCTTAGCATCTCCTATGTAAGCCAGGTTTTTGTGATCAGTAATGATCAAAAGATGGTCCTTGGAACCCTCTAAAAGATGTCGCCACTCCTTGAGTGCTAGAATAATGGCCAACAATTCTCTATTGCCAATATCGTAATTGTCGCTCAGCAGGAGACAACTTTCTAGAAAAGTAACCACAAGGCTGTAACAGAGTTCCCTGGCTCTCCCTCTGGGAGAGAACTGCCCCTACTCCTGTCTCTGAAGCATCAACCTCCAATATGAAAGGCTTACTGGTGTCAGGATGTATCAATATGTCGGCGGAGGCAAACCGCTGTTTGAGAGTTTCAAAGGCTTCAATAGCCTCCTTAGACCATATCGTACTACTAGCCCCCTTGCGTGTCATATTGGTGATGGGGGCTATTACTGAAGAAAATCCCTTTATAAATCTTCTGTAGTAATTGGCAAAACCAATGAACCTTTGAATGGCTTTCAAACTAGTTGGTAAAGGCCACTGTAGAACAGACTCTAGTTTTTTTAGGATCCATCTGAAACCCTGAGGCAGAAATATTACATCCTAAAAACTGTACTTCAGACTGTTCAAAGATACATTTTTCCAATTTACAATAAAGTAGTTTTTTTAACAAGGTTTGCAGGACTTGTTTAACGTGATCGTGGTGAGCCTGGAGGTCAGGAGAATAAATAAGGATATCATCCAGATAGACCAAAACAAACGAGTAAATATAATCACTGAGAACATCGTTAATGAAATCTTGGAAAACTGCTGGAGCATTGCACAACCCGAATGGCATCACTAGATAGTCATAGTGTCCACTTCTGGTATTAAATGCAGTCTTCCACTCGTGGTTTTCCTTGATTCTCACTAAATTGTAAGCACTTCTAAGATTAAGCTTAGTAAAGCACCCTTGAGTCTGTCAAATAATTCAGCAATAAGAGGAATGGGGTAGGCGTTTTTAATGGTGATTTTGTTTATGGGTAAGGTTTCATGCATTATTAATGGTTGTGAGAGTGGTCTCCCATCAATAGCTTTAACGGCTAAGGGTGATAGTCTCTCCTTGATAGGTATAGTATTATCCTTGACAAATTGGACATCAATGAAATTTCCAGCAGCCCCTGAGTCCATCAGGGCTTTGCATGAAAAGTGCTTTTTGTCAAGAATAATCGAAATATCAATGAGAAGTCTATATTATTCTTTTCAGAGGACATCTCCATTAAACCTAAGACCTGTCTCCTTAAGGTACTTAGCTGCGGTAGTTTCTTCGGACAAATGGGACAATTTTCTCTCATATGTCCATTACTACTGCAGTATAAACATAAACCTTCATTTCTCCTATATTGTTTCTCGGCCTCTGACAGTCTAGTGACCCCCAACTGCATGGGTTCAGGTTCGGACTGTATAGGAAGGTCAGGAACAACAGGTTCGAAAAGACGAGGTGTTAAAGGCATAGTCATACGTCTGGTCTTATTTCTAGTATTCTCTCTGGTTCTTAGTCTATTATCAATTAGCATAACAAATGTGATGAACTCATTAAGTTTCTTGAGTAGATCTTTAGCAGCAATCTCATCTAGCATAGTTTCAGATAGTCCCTTTTTAAATGCAGAGATTAGCCCACTGCTAGTCCAGTCTACCTCGGAGGCCAGGGTACGAAATTCTATGGCATAATCCGAGATAGACCGGTTCCCTTGTCTGATGTGCATCAGAGCAGTGGAGGCGTCGTCCTCCCTGCCTAAAGGTTCAAACGTAAGTTTAAATTCCGTAAGAAACTCCTAGTAATTGTGTGCCACACTCCTATTACTCTCCTATAATGGTTTGGACCAAGCTAAACTTTACCTTTTAACTGATTCATCAGGTAACCAATTTTAGCTCTGTCTGTGGGAAAAGATCCTGGTGAGGCCTCAAAATGATACTCCATTTGGTTAAGGAATCCCCTGCATTCTTGAATATTACAATCAAAATGCAGGGGAGGAGATAGTAGGTGCCTTGTGTACTATAGGTGGAGGTACATAAGTTGGAGGTGAGGCCGCAGGTTGCAGATGCGCTGTTCGAGTAAGAAGCGTACTGAAGGTCTGGGCAAATTGATCCATGCGGTGATCATTTTCCTCCAGTTTCATTTCGCAAGCAGCTATGTGCTTACACAATTCTACAGGATCTATGGCCCTGTCATAATGTCAGGATTACAGTATGATCCAGCACGTAGAATTGTGTAACACAGAAGACTGATAGGTAACGTATACCGGACCTTAGAATGGCCGGACTAACATACCAGGAATAGCCAAGGTCAAGGGATACAGAAAGAGACACAACGATAAGGAAAAGCCAGGAGTCAGGGATGCCAGAAAACAGTGAAGTCAAAAACAATGCCAAAGTCAAATAACCAGAATTACCAGAATAAATAACGCGCTCTCGGACAACCACAAGGTAAACCACGAAAGGGCACTGAGCAGGATGAGAACTGGGCCTAAATACCCCTCCTCTAGATCTGATAGGCTGTAACCGGCCCCAAAGTCAGTTACCAGGTATCCATTTGCATAATTGCTGCTCAGCATTAACCCTTCTGTGGATTAGGTTGCTGCTCGGCACAACTTTTCCTGTGTGGACAGTAAATGTCATTAACCACATTTTTATAAGCGGATGAATATGTGACATATAGAGCATGTCGCAGGTTGTGCAAGGTGGCAGGGATGCACGTTGTATCTTCCATACACACACAAAACCCAAGAACACTACCTAGAGAAACTAACTCAAACTGCATGTACACATGGACATTCAACTGAGTGTGTGCCTCTGTGTTCCTGTCTGTGTTTTTGTATCTGTGTGTACGTGCATGTGAATTTGTGTGTGTTGGTGCCTTTCTGTGTGTGCTTGTGCATGACTGTGTTTGTATCTGTAAGTACTTATGAGTGTGTTCAGCAAAAGAAGTTATAGGGTGGAGAAGGGATTACCAAATTATTTTGGGGCTCAAGCCCTGGATGTGTTCTAACCTTACAAATCTCCCTGCTTGGCTCCCTCTCTGTTTAGTGACAGTCGTAAAGATCCCTACCTGTCTAGTTTGAACATAAATCCCCAACAATGGAGTGGTTGGTGAGATGGGATCTAGGTTGAATAACCTTCAATTTAATTGGGTTCTGGGGATCCTCGAGACTGTATATTGTTTTATTTATTTAATTAAATTAGTACAACCTTTGTAGAGGGGCTTCTTCCAGGTCTAACTCATGACACTGATAATGTACGTTACAGAGGCATGGTTAGTGTTACTTAAGTAGTAGTTTGTTTTAGAAACAGGGCTTTTTTTAAAAACTCCGGTTAATTAATCATATCAAATATTGTTTCCTATTTGACTTAAAACATAATAAAGCCTATCAGTGATTTTATAAGAGAATATAGTTTGTCTTTAGGGAAAACATCACATTGTATCCCTGAATGTCAATTAAAATAACACATTTCAAGCTATTAACCCTTTGGGTGGCCAGAGAATTGGGGATTAATGGCCAGTGAAGTGAATCAGTTAGCTGGCTTGCATTACAGACATGTTAACAAGGAGATAAACAACAGCTAACTTTCATTTTAGCACAGAGATACAGGCTCCTTATCTCGGCCATCAAGCTGCTCATTCTGGAATGATGCAGGTTCATTTTGGTACACCGTTGGCAATCTGCCTGTCTGCTGGAACTGCAGAAGCTTATTGCTGCGGAATGATTCAGCATTCAACATCTACCCATGAATCCCTGGGATATTTTCTGCAAATCATTTTAACCCTTAATGAAGAAATAGGCTATACTTTACTTTGCAAGGCCCTCTAAAAACACACACTGAAACAAGCCGATTGTGCAAAACAAACGTCTTGATGAAAATAAATTGGGTCAGAAAGTAGACAACAAATTATTCTAACACGTTTAATTTAGATTCTGCAATTCTGCCATTTTCCTATATGTCATACATATTGTTTAATTTCCATCTTCACATTATTTATTACTCACAGTAGACTGTGGACAGCATGGTACAATAAGCAATCAGTATGCTCTGTCACTGTAGGTTAATTGTAAATGTCACAAGATATCTGGTTTTGCCAGACTTTTTAAAGCCACCAGCTGCTGCATATTTGTTTAGAGAAACAATTGGGGTCATATTCCTGGAATCACTAGGCAAATATCATTTATACCCAGCCTTCTTGAAAATTAACAGAATAGGGATAAAAATGGACATGAGTCGGCATGCTCCTTGCTAGCTTTAGCCATTCTAATAAAAGCTCGCCCTAAGCACACTTTTGAGAGAAGCTTAGTACTGGAACAGTTGGGGAAAAGAAACCTCTATTACAACCATTCCCTGAAGTTTACAATTTCACACATAACTTCAGGCTGCAAATATTACAAAGATCCAGCTTCATTGCTAGACTGCTTACAACTAATGCTTATATGGAACACTGTGAACAGGTCACCTAGTCCAGAGGCCAACAACCTATGGCACGTGTGTCATGCACGGCACTCAGGGCTGGCCTTTACGTGGCCAGCCCAGTCTCCACTGGACCCCAGGGAAGTCACCCACATTGCTAGATATACATAGAATAAGCCTCCCTCTCGTACATATGACACAAACACAAACACAGTCCCCACAAGCTACATACATAAACACATCCCCAAAAGCAGCCTCTCACATGCAATACCACAAGCAACTCCACACACACCACCAAACTCACAATGTGACATCATCCACACCCACAATTCCACGAGCAGCCCCATACACAGCCCACATTCATAGGTATCATACACAATACCACAAACTACTCCTGAACATATACAGCCCACATACGCACAAATACAACACTACAAAGCAACTGCAGTGCCCATACATAAAACACAAGCGCAATACGGCAACATACACACCTCAATTTTAAAATAATAGGACCAGCACACCAGGAGACTTCAAGATCTTGTTTTGGCACAGTACTACTAAAAGGTTGCCTACCCCTGCTATAGAGCAATGTGAGAATGGAGAGAATGGCTCAAATTAAATTGAAGAATGCTGTGGACATCGGCCATCTGTATCCTGCCCAAAGAAAAGGGTCTGACATTACTGCCTCAAAAATCAAAAACACACGATTGTGTTGGAATGGCATCCAGAAATGTACTATAATGTACGTAGATCAAGCTATATATCATTCGAGCACAGTAAATATGATTACATGAATAGCTTACAGTAAAGGTTTATGTATCATTATCATATATATTATTGAGAATTGTTCACCAGACTGGGAGTCATCAAAATTGACAAGGAAATTAAATAACATTATGGTTAAATAACTGAACAGGAACAGTCACCGGCTTAGTTATTTTTTCACTAAGGCTATTTTGGTCTAAAATCTGCAAATCTTTGGTCAATTCACCACAATTTCAGATTATGTTGTTAAATTCCAGAGCATCTTTAAAGCTGTACAATAGGAGTATAAAAAACAAAAAAAAAAACAAATACATTAATAATTTGTATAGAGCTTAAGATGCATAATAGTTTAAACTGATGATATGTACCAGTGGTGCCCAAAAGGTAGATCCCCGGATATTTTAAAACTACATGATACATTGCCATTCTTAAGGCATGCATGGGAGTTATACAACATCTGGGAATGAATTTGAAAATTAAAATTAAAATACAGTCTTGTTTTCTTCCTGTTGCACAAAAAAAAAAAAAAACTAAATAGGTTCATTGAGAATCAGATTAATGGCAAAAGAACTGATGTACAATATAGTACTTATAATGTTGGTATTTCTGTTAATTTCTCATTCTGTAAGTGATAGGTAAACATAAATAAAGGACAGACGGGGCAGAGCCAGGCTTCCATGCAGAGCCTGAGTCTTGTGCCTGAGCTCCTAAGAGTTTTACTGATTCTGGGTGATATCCCTCAGTTAACAAACAGCTATGTCCATTCAAGGGCACTATCATTGGGGGAGTCAGGGTATCTCTGCTGACTATCCTGACCCTCAAACGATGTTTACACCCCACCGGAGTCCGTGTCTCTCTGTTGCGGCCCACTGGGGATGGAGCTGGGGAGACCCCTGTTTAGTTCTGCTATACTCCTACCCCCTCCCACCCTGGACCGGCAGGGGATATCCCGGTCTCCACTGG